AATAGCATTGGGTCTTCTGTTTAACTGGCAATGTCAGAAATTATTGACCTGAGTCCCCCACAGTTCAACATAACATCCTGTTTGATTTTGAAATTTGGCCTCATTGCTTCTCCATCCTATTTCACTGTTTCTTTGTGACTGACCTCTCACCACAATTCCTGATGGCTTACTGTTGTCCAGGCAGCCTGCTTCTTTTGCTTTGCTTTAAGAGCTACCCAGAGATGGTCGCAAAGGGAAGCTCTACTGACCAGGCGATTTTCACTGTAGCTCCCAGATATGGAGCACATGAGGTGGAAGAGATGGTAGAGCTTGACAAAAGGATTCATTCCCCAGTGTTAGTTTAGCTACACTGGAGAAATTATTGCCCTGCAGGTGGCAGCACCTAATTTGGTAAATCAGGCTGGAAATCTGCAGGTGAATAAAGTACCATGTATGTGGGCCTAAGCATCATCTTTCATGGAAGTGCTTCAGATTTTTAAAGAGGTTATTCGGGTCCCTGAAAAGCTGATTTTGAGACAACTTGTCTGTCAGTACTACTGCTGGAGAGAACATTTATGCCATACAGATCTTCCACTTCTGTAGTCAGAATGAGCTAGTAGAGTGCTTAGAGCCATATGTGTTTGGGATGGCAAAGAAATGCACAGTAGCTCTCTATGCATTAGGAAGGCCCAGAAAAGCCCTCTCTTTGTCCTTTCCTTGTTCCTTTTTTCATCTGCCTTCATTTTTTTTATCTCTTCCTTACTTTTCTCTCTTTGTTTTCCTTCTTTCTTTCCTTTCCCCTTTTCACCTTCTTTTCCTCCCTCTCTGATCTCTAAGACAATACCAACCTTCCCTGTGTCTTTGTAAACAGTCTATTAAGTTATACAAGTAAGTACACTTAAAATATACTTAGCAAGGGAAAAGTTTTCCTATGAAACTTTAGGCTCCAAAACATTTAAAAGAATATAATCGAGCTGACTATTTGTGCTGACAAAAGGAGATTGCTGGCCATGTCCATTGCTTCAATGGTGAGCGCCTCATCTATTTCCTTGTTACAGCTTGGACATTTCACCTTCTCATGTTCTGTTGTTTCTTCCTGACTGAACTAAACAAAACACAGATAGAAAACAACAAAAAATGATGTATGAATATTAACATATTGTTCAGCATAAACCTCAAGCAATTCTCACACTAGCTTTTTCATTATTTGCACAGATGTTCTCACCTCTTAATTATGTAGGAGCTAAAATAATTGCCTGTTTAAAAAAAATAATTGCCTGTTTTAATGAAAGGAGTTATACCTCTGTTGTTACATGGCCTTACTAAAAGTTTGTAGAACTGATTACGTGATTATTCTTCAAATCTAGTGGTTCTGTGTGGCCCAGCAGGAGCAGCAAAGCAGAATTAGCTGAGGATTGTCAGAAATTCACCTTTCAGATGACCCCCTAGACCCACTGAAGCAGAACCGGGAGAGGTGGACAGATGTTTGTGTTTCTGCAAACTTACTCAGCCTTAACAGTTGCAGTTGTACTGCTGGAATGCATCACTTAAAACAGAATAAAAAACAAACATGCGTTAAAGGAGGTGGACATATAGATCCTTTACTGAGAGGAACTGAAGCTTAGAGAAAAATAAATGCTTTGACATGGATCTCAAGCAATTTAAGGTTACCAAGGTAACACATAATTCAGATTTCCAAGGCCACTGCTCTGTCTCTGCCACTATAGAATTCTCTCCATATCTCTATCGTAAACAGCTCAACGCCTTTGTCTTCTGTCTTGGTGAGGCACATCAAGTACCAGAATGGTGGCTTCATTGTTGACCGCATTAGAATCACGTGGGTAGGGAATTAAACTTGTTTATTCTTTTTTTTTTTTAAACTTGTTTATTCTTGGAACTTTGCACAAACTACTTGTATCAGAATCTCTAGGGTAGGAACTGGAAATTCAACATTTTTAGTATGTTTTCCAGATGATTTTCTTTTTTTTTTTCAGCAGAAGCAGGGACTGAACTCAGACCATTGCACTTGCCAGGGAAGCACTTATTCTACTGAGCCATCTCCCCAGCCCCCATCCAGATGATTTTTGTGCAGGCAGTTCAGCAAATCTCATAACCAAATGCTGGGATCTACTAGCAAAATCTGGGGTGGGGAGATAGCTCAGTGGCTTAAATGCCTGTCTGGCAAGTACAAGGTCCTGTGTTCAATCCCTGATACAAAAAGCTTTTTTGTCAGCAAAATCCTTCTGTAGTTCTATCCAGAAATAGCCCCTAACTAGGTTAGTGGATAGTCAATGGATTTGGCAAGATCCTTTTTATAGAGATTATCTGTACTTCTAGAAGTTGATTTGATATAATGTGTGATGCAGAAAAATACTGCAGTAAAAATTGGACCAGACATAGGACATATAAAAGCAGTAGCAGCTGTGAGAAGATTCCCAAAGCAATGCTTACTATTTTCTATTGAGGAAACCATGCCTGACTGATGTTCTGAGTAATCTTAAGTACATGACTCTGACCTAAAAAATGTTGAAGGAATGAACAGAAGGCTCTGCCCACTTCTAATCTACTCAAAATGTAGAAATTTTCTAAGATTTGCTGTCTTTGTATATTTTGAAGGCAGTTCCAATGCACTAATCTCTCTTTTGAATCCACAACATATGTTTTCTATATATTCAAGGGGGTCATGAATTCTATTTTACCTTAGATTGATCACAAAATTTCTTAAACAGGACTTCTTACTATAATGATAAGGAGGTTCAATATAACATCTAAGTCAATGACAAAATTTTAAAATTGTTAATATTTATGACATGATTTATATTAAAAAGGCAACTATATCTACTTTGAAGGAGTAGAAAGATGATACATGCTTACTGCAAATGGGTTTTGAAGTACAATTGCCTTGTCAACCATGTTCCATTCAGAATTAGCAAGATCTTTGTCAAATTTGAGTGTGGAAGCTGTGGATTTGATTAGTTCTTGAAATCGCTGAAAGGTGTGAAGATTTGATTTATGTTTTGTTGATCCGGCATCACGAAGACCTTGGATACAAACAATACATATTATAAACAAATGAAACTTCATGATTTTTGATATGGATATTAGGTCATTCTTTTGTTTTTTGCTTCTTGTCACTAATAATTTTTTAAAACATTGGTTTAATTGCTTTCATATCATTTGGACACAATACCTGACTCCACAACATAAAGGATGAGAGGTTTATTTTGTCTCACAGTTTTTAGAGGTCAAGTCCATAGTCAGTTGGATCCAAGGTAGAAAGCATGACAAAGGGGATAGGGAGGAGAAGACTGCTCACATCACGGTCTCCAGGAAGCCGAGACAGGGGCTGAATGAGGGGCTGAGGAAGTGGGTACACCCTCCTGGGTTGCACACTCAGTGACCTGCCTTTTCTATAGAGCCTGCCTTACATTAACAATTCAGCTATATTGTTACCACAATTCAACCACTTTCCCAGAACCCTACCTATAAGCATGTGATGACTTTGGGAGACAGCTAAAATCTAAACCATACTATCCTAGTGTAAGAACTCAAAAGAAGAAATAAAATAGAAAGGTATATCACCATTAAATGGAAAGAGAGAACTTAAGGCTTAAACAACAAAGAGAGAGAAAGGAAAAAAGTTAGGACATATGGCAGGGGCAAAGCCTATTTATTTATTTATTTATTTATTTATTTATTGGCAGAACCAGTGATTGAACTCAGATCTTTGCACTTGCCAGGCAAGCACTTATTCTACTGAGCTATCTCCCCAGCCCCATGCATTTATTTAAATAACATGGTTAAGTCAAAGGTCCTAAGAATCTCCATCAGGTTTTTGAAAATAGCAGTTAATGGGTAGAATTCTCACCATGAGTAACTATATATTCTGATACCTGTGAACTAAGCAACTAAACTGATGATCGCAAAGTGTAATACTAGAACCATGTTTGAAATACCTATCATTTTGTTTTCCTAAGTGCATACTGCTTCTAGTGTTATACCAATTACTGCTATACCTTCTTTAATGTATTTGTTTAAAAAAGTAATAAAAGAAAACAAAAGACAAGAAAAAGAACATAAAAATATTAAGGATTCAACATAAATTTTTTAGCAATGGAAATACTGACAAGCTAAAAAAATTTCTACTTTCACACTACTTACAAAAGCTAAAATACAGTTACAACTATAACAATATATAT